TCCCATAAAAGTTTTTCACCTCATCATGCTTAAAGAGCCCCGATCTCCTTACAAGCTAATCCACACAGTAAATAGAACACCCAAGATTAAAGAAGTCTTAGGAAAAGGCCGTCATTATATTATAAACCAAAGAGACAGGAGACTGGCAGTTCTTGCATTGATGCCTTAGGCACTCAATAAATTCATCACTGGCCTCTAGGGAAAGTATGCCCTTGAAAATGGCAGTAGCTCTGCAATACTATGTTTTCTGGGGTCAACATTAATGAGCCCTATATGGCAACTCATGAGAAGGAAAACAATTAAGGACTCCTAAGGGCTCAAGTATTCCTAATTTTCTTGAACAAATCTGACAACAGTATTAGCTTCCCTGGCCACATGTGGGTGTTGATTGATGCCATCTGTGAGGGCCATATAAGTGGTGCAGGCGAAATACCTTCAGCAACAGAAAGATGCACTGACATACAGCTGGCAAGACATCTCTCTCTGTTAGAAAGTGCAACACTTCGATATTAGCTTAGACTTCCCAGGGTTTTGTGACAATTAAAAGAGAAAATGCTCCAAAAGCCAAGTCTGGATCTCTGGCAGAGGCAAGTACTAAGTTCATCACTTTTATTGACCCTCAAAGTCCTAGGTAAGTCCCGTCATCACCTTCATGTCACATGTAGCCCACTGAGGTGCAAGGAGTTGTAGTGAGTCTCCTGGAGATTCCAGGTTGGAGATCCAACAGGGAAACCTCAGTGCCCACAGGACTGCCTCCCAGCAGGTTGATCAGTGGGTTCAGAAAGGCCTCAGTTCTTTAAGAACGAAGGTGCAAGTAGGCATTAAGTAAGTGAAAGATTCCTGTCCTGAGAATATTTCTTAAGTTTGCTCTTCTGAAGGTGATGTGAATGTTAGTATTGTGGGTTGTAATTAAAAGTGCTCACTGGCCAAAACCAGTTTGGCTCAGTGGATGGAGCGTCGGCCTTCGGACTGAAGGGTCCCAGGTTGGATTCCGGTCAAGGACATGTACCTGGGTTGTGGGCACATTCCCAGTAGGAGGTGTGCAGGAGGCAGCTGATCGATGTTTCTCTCTCATCGATGTTTCTAACTCTCTATCTCTCTCCCTTTCTCTCTGTAAAAAATCAATAAAATATATTTAAAAAAAATAAAAAATAAAAAAATAAAAGTGCTCACTGCATTGTGCATAGCATTTAAAAACTAAAAAATGCCCAGGATTATTTATTTATTTATTAAAATGGCTCAGTGGTTTAGCATCAACACAGCAGAAAAAGGTCCCTCATTCGATTTTTGGTCAGGTCACATGCCGGGGTTGAGGGCTCCATTCCCAGGAGCTGCGTGCAGGAGGTAGCCTATCAATGTCACTCTCTCCTCATTGATGTTTCTATCTCTCCCTCTCCCTTCCTCTCTGAAACCAATACAAAAATATTTTAAAATCTCTTATACTCTGGTTTCTCTTCAAATCACATAAATCGTTCGGCTTTTAAAAATACCTAAAAATACATGTTTTTAAAGGTATAAAATATTTAAAAACATTATTCCAATCCAAAAAAATATTTATTCCCTAAACCAAAAAAGGCACACAATGAGTGAAATTCCAACATCCATCTTTCTCATTCCATTGTTTGTTTGTTAAAGGAAACTGACAAAACTAATAGCACATTAGGCAGAACATAGGATCAGAGGTTTTAACAAAGATACAGACAGAGCAAATATGCATCTCAGAAAAGACTCACTATAAACTTCTAGTAGAAATACAACCAAACAGTGAGGTAGCACAATAAACTAACCAAAAAAAAACAAACACGAAAAACGTTGAAATAAATGATGATTGACCAAAATAAATATTCTCTAGGATGTGGAAAATGTGAATCCTTCATACACCGCTGGAAAAATGCAAAAACATAGTACAATTAGTTAAGCTTTACATTTTATTTTTAAAGGATACTTTAGTAATTTTTAGAGAGAGAAGGAAAAGGGAGAGAAACATTAATGGAAGAGTGGCACATCAGCCAGCCGGCCACTTCTGTGGATCTAGTCCACACCCCAGCACATATCCCCACCGGCAACAAAATCCACAATCCTATGCTGCAGGAGATGATGTCGAAGCAATAAGCCACTCGGGATCTGGTGGTACATTCAATTCACATCACTATTTGGTAATCTCAGTAAAATTAAACATTCATCTACCCAAAAACTCAGATTATGGCCTGAATTTTTAACAAAGGTAAATAACACTTATGCTATTAAATAAAATCCTAGTATGCTAAGTATCCGGTTATCCAGTTGGCCAATCAACCAATCAAAGTGTAATATGCTAATGATATGCTAAGGCAGTCCAACTGCTCGCTATGACGTGCACTGACCACCAGGGGGCGCACAGCTGGACAGTCGCTATTACATGTACTGACCACCAGAGGGCAGATGCTCCAACAGGTAGGTTAGCTTGCTGCTGGAGTCTGGCCAATGGGCCAGACATGCCCTGGAGCTCTTCCGTGGTCCCTCCCTGGCTGGCTAAACTCCGGTGACCCTTTCTGGCCCCACGCAGGAGCTGGCCCTGCCCCCTCGTGGTAAGTGCACTTCTACAGGGGGAGCATCACTTAGCCAGAAGCCCGGCTCACGGCTGGCAGTTGCAGGCAGGTGGTAAGGAGAGAGGGGTCCCCGACTTTGAGAGCCCCAGACTGCAAGAGGGATGTCTCACTGCCGGCTTAGCCTGATTTCCAGGGGGATCGACCTAAGCTGGCAGATGGACATTGCCCAAGGTGTCTTAAACTGGGAGAGGGAGCAGGCCAGGCTGAGGGAGCCTGCCCACGCCCCCGCCACCCCAGTACACGATTTTCGTGCACCGAGCCTCTAGGAAACATATAAAGAATTATACAGTAATGTTGATACAAGCTTTATTAGAATTAACCAAATATTTACTAAAATGGGCAACATGGTGATATATTCAAAGATAAGAATATCTACCAGAGCCCTAGCTGGTTTGGCTCTGGACAGAGCATAGGCCTGCAGACCAAAGGGTACTGGGTTCGATTCTGGTCAAAGGCACATACCTTGGTTGAAGACTCCTTCCAGGCCCGGGCCCTGGTCATGGCTGATGCAAGAGGCAAACGATCAATGTGTTTCCCTCATATCGATGTTCCTGTCTGTTTTTCCCTCTCTCTTCAATTCTCCAAAAAAAAAAAAATTAATGGAAAAATATCCTCAGGTGAGGATTAACAACAACAAAAAGAAAATTTATCAAAAAAAAGAGAGCTACTAATATATCTTTAATAAATCTCCAAGAATTTATGAAATATCAATTAAACCAGAAAATACTTTGAAAAAGCAAACTTCTCTTTTAAATTTAAATGTAAATCCATGGTTACAAGGAGAGCTGTGAAAAATAGGGACAGATAAAACGAGGTCATGAAGCAACTACACAGTGACAAATATGGTCAGTATTATGAGTATAATGATGGTTTCAGTTTCATGTACATGTAAAGATTTATGAAACACTATACTTAATACATGTAATTTACTCATTACAGCTGTTAAAAAATGGTTCAAGAGAAAAGAAATGTACGATCACCTACTTTGGAACAATGGGTTTTTTAATTCTATATTCAATGCCCATTCTTCTGCCCTCTGGGCAAGTCTCATCTCAGTGACAGAAAATGTAACAAACAATGAAGAACTTTCACCCAAACCCATTGGAATGTTGACTGGGTCACAAAAGCCACATCTCTGGCCTAAGGACACCCTTTGGTATCCTCTTAGTTTTGCCGCCAGAGGACCAATGGCTCTGATGGGAACATCTAATAAAGGACAATGACTGCTCCATGAAGATAAACAAGCCTGGAATCCCTCAGATCTGTGTACACACGGCTCCTGCAGTCTTTTCCTCAAAAACAATTTCTGAGTACAGGTTTAGATGAAGACCATTCCTTCTAATGGGCTGCAGTCTGGTCCAACAAGAATTAGGTCAGTGATTCTGCAGTGAAGGGGTCCCCCTCACTGCGATGGTCCTCCAACAAGTGCCCATCACCCATGCAATTGAAGGCATTAGGGCACATGGCCCTCTGCAACACGTGGGCAAAAGAATCCCTTCAGATGTCTTAGCATCCCTTGAAAACAAGAAAAAATATTCACACTGCTCCCAGACATACTTGAGGTTGTCACAACTACTCCCTCTTTGGTGTGATCTCTGTGTCTCAAAGCATCCAGTTTCACATGAGAATTAGAGTCCAAGTTTTTCCTAGGAAATTATGGGCAGCAATGTAAATTTGGCAAAACTGCTGAGCTAATTTCTGCAGCATAGTCTTCCCCCCAGGACAAAAATGTTTGAGACCCCATAAAAGTGTTTCACCTCATCGTGCTTAGAGAGCCCTGATCTTTTTATAAACTAACCCACAGGATCAATAGAACACATTAAAGAAGTCCTAGGAAAGAACCATTACTTTGCAAAGAAAGAGATCTGAGACTGGCAGTTCTCCCATTGATGACTTAGGCACGCGATAAAAAAACTCAACATTAGCATATAGGGAAAATGTGTCCCTCAAAATGGCATTTCTTCTGCAACATTATGTTTACTGGTGCCAAACGTAATCGGTCCTATGTGGCGACTCATAACAGGGAAACAAGGGCCAGGTATTCCTAATTTTCTTCAACAAATTAGACGACAGAGTTAGCTTCCCTGGGCACATGAGGATGGAGATTGTAGCCATGTGTAGGGTCCTTACAGGTGAATCCAGGGAAATAGCTTCAGCAACAGAAATATGCAGTGACGTAGATCTGGCAGGACATCTCTGTATGTTAGAAAGTGCAACATAGATACATATACTTCCAACATAAAAACAAACAAAACAGCAGAAAAAGTTGCGGTTACGTTACATAATGTAGGCGATTAAATGTATGAGATGTAATTCAGACTAATGAGACTTCATTTATTTTTGTATACAATTGGTAAATCCTTATTAAGAAACTACATTTCCTACACATCTAAGAACCTTATCATATCCGGACTTTGTTACGTAGAATTATTTACAAATTAGACTGAGAGATATCTCACTTTAATTGCACTCATAACAGCTTTCTCCAGTGTGAGCTCTCTGATGATTTTGAAGACTTTCACTGCATTTATAAGGCTGTTTTCCAGTGTGAACTCTCTGATGAGTACGAAGGTTGGTGCTCCAGGTAAAAGATTTCCCACATTCACTGCATTTATAAGGCTTCTCTGCAGTGTGCACTCTCTGATGAGTATGAAGGTTAGCACTACAGGTAAAACATTTCCCACATTCACTGCATTTATAAGGTTTTTCTCCAGTGTGAACCCTCTGATGATATTTGAGACGAGTGCTACTTGTAAAAGACTTTCCACATTCACTGCATTTATAAGGATTTTCTCCTGTATGAACTATCTGATGACGACGAAGATCACTGTTCCAGGTAAAAGATTTTCCACAGTCACTGCATTGATAAGGCTTTTCTCCTGTATGAACTCTTTGATGACTACGAAGGTTGGTGTTAGTGGTAAAAGATTTCTCACATAGTCTGCATTTATAAGGCTTTTCTCCAGTGTGAACTCTCTGATGATGACAAAGTTTCGTGGTAGTGATAAAAGATTTCTCACATTCACTGCAGTGATAAAGCCTGTCTCCATTGTGCACTCTCTGATGACGACAAAGTTTAGTGCTACTGGTGTAAGCTTTTCCACATTCAGTACATTTATAAGGCTTTTCTCCAACATGAATTCTCTGATGATGACAAAGGTCAGTGAATGTGGTAAAAGATTTCCCACAGTCACTGCATTTATAAGCCTTTTCTCCTGTATGAACTCTCTGATGTCTATGAAGGTGGGTCTTAGTGATAAAGGATTTCCCACATTCACTGCACTGGTAAGGCTTCTCTCCAGTGTGAACTCTCTGATGATATTGGAGACCACTGGGACCTGTAAAAGTTTTCCCACATTCACTGCACTGATAAGGCTTTTCTCCTGTGTGAACTCTCTGATGATATTGGAGACCAGTGCTCCTTGTAAAAGACTTTCCACATTCACTGCATTTATAACGATTTTCTCCTGTATGCACTCTCTGATGACTCGGAAAGTGGGTCTTAGTGGTAAAGGATTTCCCACCGTCACTGAAATGATAAGGCCTTTCTCCAGTGTGCACTCTCTGATGACAACAAAGTTTAGTGCGACTGCAGTAAGCTTTCCCACACTCACTACATTTATAAGGCCTTTCTCCAGTGTGAACTCTCTGGTGACAATGAAGGTTACTGCTACTGGTAAAAGGTTTCCCACACTCACTGTACTCATAAGGTATTTCTTCTGTGTGAACTCCCCGATCATCATGGAGGGCACTGCTTCTGGTAACAGCTTTTCCACATTCACTGCTCTCATAAGGCCTTTCTCCAGTGTACAAAGCTTGGTGGTCATCTAGGCAGTTACTACTGCTAAAAGATTTCCCATATTCACTGCACTGATAAGGCCTTTCTTCAGTGTGACCTCTCTGTTGATAATGAAAGCAAGAAAATTTGGCAAAATATTTTCCACATCCAGAGCACACAAAACACTGACTTCCAACATGGACATCCTTTTCCTGAATAAACGTGTGGGGGCAACTAATGTCTTTCTTACATTCTTTTCTGGCGTAATAATTTCTTTGCCTTTGAAACGTCATCCCACGCATTGAAATAGCATTAGCACTGTCCCTGGTCTGAGTAGCATTTAGGAAGAGATGTCCTGATTCGCTAAGGACACCTGCCCAACCCCTCTGCAAGTGAAACTACTCTGGGACACACTGAAATTGCAGCTGTTTGCAAGTGAGATCCTGTCCACCCCTCTAATGAAAGTCTTCTCTCTCACATGCTGCTGGTGAAATTTCGGACTGAAATAAAACCATTTTGCACATGCCCCACACCTCAACAGTATCTGCGCGTGTTGGGTTTCCTGCCCCTCCATCACGTGGCAAAAGTTTCCAAAGACTAGCCCACAACTCTCACAGGGGTGGCTCCTCTGGGAAGACGAGGCTAACTTGTGATTCCTTACCTGTAACACCCCTACAGAAATGTTTTTCCCAGTCGGTGCCTCCACATTCTCTGCTCCACAGCAGCAACCTGAACAAAAGGAAAAGCTGGTGAAATACATGTTGATCTTGTAAAAACAGAATATCTTTACCACAAATGTTTATCTGTCATGACTTGGCCTGAGGCCATAGAAAGATTTTCATGACAAGTGAAGTAAACTCCGAGGAAATGGTTGTTAATACATAACGTGGCCCCAAAAGTCAGTCGATGATGAAAATCTCACCAGGAGAGGGACAGAAGCACAGGATGGGATACAAAGAAGAGAGGAAGGCTCTATTCATTGTTCCTGCACAAACGGCTTCCTTTAGGACCTTATATCCTGGCCATGTGAGTCTGTGTAAAAATTTAAAGCTGCTCAAAGCCACAAAAATTAATTGTATTAGAGCACATGAAGTTCAACGTCTATATAATAAAACGAGTGCTCTCCAAGGTGCAGCAGGCATAGACCAAAGCTGGAGTGCAGTAAAGGGAGACCTGTGAAATAGGCAGAGGTGCAAATTATAGAAGTTAAGGTTTTCCTTGCGCTGGGAATCTTAGTAGAAATGATCACTATTAGAACTGAGGAATTGGCAAAGTATCAACAATAAGCACAAACAAGCATAACTGGGTGAGGAACGGGCAACTGTAACCAAACACTGGGTTTCTAGCTATGAATGCAACAAAGGCCAGCTGTGAATTCCTCCCCAATGATCCTTCCCCAAGGCCAGACCGCCTGGGGGTCCACTGTGTCATTCATAAAGTCGTGTTTCTTCTGTGATGCAGAAATGATTCTTTCCCTTCAATCCCATTGGAGCCACTGCATGGGATAAATGATGCAAATCTTCACAAAAAAAACCCGGAAAAGATGGATGGTCAATACCGTGGTAGAACAACAAAGGACAAATGAAATCACAGACAAAAGACCTATGTGAGTGACATCAGCAAGATGGCAGGATCAGAGATATAAGCATCTTCCCCCATCCCAGTGTAAGTAGACACCTATCCATGAACAAAAACCCCATAGGAAATGGGAATAAGAGTACCATGAAGGCAAACAGTATTACAGACACAAATAATGAAGAACTGTACAGAAAGAATGACTGGAAAAGGCTGGGTGAATAAACATATTTCAAGATACCTAGAGTCAAAAAGGAGGGTCAGCGTTACCTCCAGCAGCCACTGTACTTCCGCTATCCTTGTCTATAGTGGCCTATTTTTTAAAAAATACTGGAAATTTTTGTGTTTAAAAACCACAGAATGCCTTGGCCAGTATGGCTCAGTTGGTTGGAGCATCGTCCTGTGTACCAAAGGGTCAAGGATTCAATCCCAGTCACGGCAGATATCAGTATGCGGGTTCCATTTCCAGTTAGCTTGTGTGCAGAAGGCAGCCCATTGATGTTTCTCCCTCACAATTATGTTTCTCCTTCTCTCCTTGTCTCTCTCTCTCTCCATCTCTCCTCCTCCCTATCTGAAACCAATAATACATAAATAAGAATATCAATGTAGCCAAACACAAAACAGAACTCAAAAAAGTCTAGACACAAAGTAAATAAAAAGACAATCTATCAAAAATTATGTATAAAATTCAGAAAATGTAATTCTAAGAAGAAATTTTATAGGGATAAATGCCTCCATTATGAAAAAAGATCGAAAAAAACCGAACCTGCCATCTCTGAAATCTAGAGACAAAACAAGAAAGTAAACCC